TATTTGATTTAATGCAAATTATAAATTGATACCAGGTTGCATTTAATGCGAGCCAAAATTCAATTAACGCAAGGCTAGTGCGTGTGCAAGTTGAAGCTGGTGCATTTGCAGTTGCTGTTGGAGTTTTAGATGCTAATTGTTATGTGTGCAAAATGGAGAAAAGGAAGGCTCCATTCAAGGAAAGCTCAAAAAATAAGAGGCTCATTTTGAAAAACTGCGGCAGAATACAGGAGATAACGGGTACATTCTGGATATCGGTTTATCCTCCAGTTTGTCCTTTGTTCACTTGATTATTTATTTTAAATATTTATGAGATCTATCTAGAAGATCTCCTAATAGGTTATACTCCATTAGAAAGCAATAAAAAACACTAAACCATGAACAAATAAGGGTAGTCTAGGTAACAATCTTGCTACCACTTCCTGTGTTACATGATAAAGATGTTTTTGTCAGTGTAAGCTTAAATTTAGGAATGATATTTAGCATTTTTTTTGTTTTTATTTTCCTTTCTATAACTACTGTGTGACTTTGTTAAAAATAAATTTAGGTTGTAAGTATATGCTTTTAATCTTTTACCATTAAATTTTCATTGCCTGTTTCAAGGTGGTACCAATTACCCTATTTTCCATAGAAATATCACTCTGAATAGTGTGAATTCAAATAATGTGACTATTTCATGGGATTCATTATCAGCACTAATCAAGACTTACCTGTATAACAAACATTATTACACAGTGATCATTGGGGCACTTCCCTCAAAGGGAAAACGTGCCCTGAACAAAGAAAGATAAGAATATATGTGATTTCCATATACATATTCATTAGCTAGATAAACATATAATTTAACATATGTGACTTAACAGTTTCACATTTAGGACATGCACATGTTTGAGTAATTTGGGAGTTCCTTATTAGAGCATGCTGCTCATATATTCTCTCTGCTCAACTAGCTCTAACTGGCATTATGGGTTAGGGAGTAGGTCTCTGCCCTTGAGATTAACTGGAGCTAATCTACAGGGTGTATTCAAAGCATATATTTAATAAATTATATTCTTAGGTTTTTAACAATATTTAGGCAAAGTTCTTAATAGCTTTGCCTAAGTATAGTTGCTAAGAATAAATATTGTTGAAAAACTAAAGCACTAAACCTCCCCCCAAAATTAGAGAAAGTTCACAAAAGTTATTACATAAGGATATTTAATAACACCTAGAAGGTTGAGTTTAATAATACCAGGAACAAACCCCAGATGCTACTGAGGATGTAACAGAATTGGAACATATTTAAGTGTGTGGTGATCTTTTGTGAATATTCCAAGTTTTCATTGAAATAGGGAAACTAACTAATCAAGTTATTGTGCTAGATACTAGGTTAGCTTTATTATTAGCATTTGAGGAAGCAAATGAAATTTTTTTTTGCAGTTTAAAGAACTGATAATCAGTTAATATTTTAATATTTAGTGGCTGCTAGAGTTGTTCTTGAGTAAAATGGGCGGTGACTAAATTTGAAATATAAATAAATAATATTTATAATCCATGTTTGGGAGACAGGATTATTTTTCAGTGGACTCAACAATGTGGGCAAATAGCCCTAATGGAGAAACTCATTGGAAAAAAAGAGAGTGAGAATAGCTGCAGATGATTTTCTAACTGGTTGGTATGGCTTTATTATGTATGCACAGGTGGAATCAATTTTTTGGCTCCTCTAATATACATATTAATCTATGGCCAGATATTTGTTAATTTAAAAAGAACCACTGAGCATTGTATTATTCTATAGCATTGGTTAATAGTATATTTAACATTTGGAAGTTCTGTTCTAAAAGAACAAAATTATCTCATTGTAGCTACCTTTTCCTTAAGGGCAATAAAAATATTTATCCAAATCCTAACCACAGAACTCTCTCTACACTGTAAGATAAACTACTGATAAACAAAAAATTGAACTGTAGTTCTAGCACCCATAGCCATGAATGATGAGATTAGAGTTAGAGTTAAATATACTGTATGCATTGCTGGTTTTGGAGAAAGTACGTTTTGGATTGGCATTCTTTGATATTGTTGGTTACATTTAGTGTGAGGGCCAGAAGTGAGAGTCACTTTTCCACTTAACAGTGGTGTTTGATTTATCATGTGGATTAGATGGAGAACTGTGTCTCAGATAAGGTTAAGTATTTCTGTAACCATTAGAGAGAATGTAGGGTCAGGTTTAACCTTCCTTGAAAATGATGCTTAATTTTAGTGTGTGGGTTTTTATGCTTAGTTGTAGTTTTCAGTTTATCATAGGGGGGTATTTTGAGTGCTGAGGTTAGGGTTAGGGTAAAAATTGTCTTGCCATTAAGAAGTTATCTTTAGGGTTAGCCTCCTCAAAGTTAATGATTAAAGTTAAATCCTAATTCAGTTTTACTTGCAGTCTACTGTCTATCAAGAAACCACTTATTTCATCCTGTGATCCAATTACTTTATTTTCCTCCCTTTTTTCCCTTACATTCTTTTTCCTCTGGCTATGTCAGCCCTTCAGAGTAGACCACACTAGGAAACCAAAGTCATGCAGGCCAATACTACTTTTATTATATGGTTACAGTAAAGGAATCTTGCAAGTCTGAATGCGCTTCCCCCCTCCCTCCCTTTATCTTCGTGAGAACTAGGAAGAGTCTTTTCTGAGACATTTTCTCAGGTTACAGTTCTGCCCTGGACTCATCTGACCATTATCATGGTAGCGGCTCTTCCTCTGTCCCTCAAGGTCATTCCTTCTTCCCATTACAAGCTAATTACAAATCCTGGGTACCCAGATTTCTAACACCTAGGTTATTTCCTTGATTCTCATTATGGTCTAACCAGTTCGCACCAGTTTCCTCATTACCTAAATTTACTGCAATCTTTGGGGTACAGGACTGTTTACAGCTTTATTTTATTTTTTTAATACTTATCAGAAGTACATCTTTGTAAACGTTCTTCTCAGAGTTTAGCCACAGCTTAGTGCACTGTTTCAATACCCTAGAAAGGAATAACATAACAAGTAGCAAATGTAATTAATTTAATAACATATTTGCTTTGTATGCCTCAGCAGCCAAAATGGCTCCATTGGACCAGACTGCCCATTTCTTAATGCTTTCATTTTATGTACAATACTCTTAAATTAAAATGCCACAGAAGTCCCTTGGAAAACATTTAATGTTTTGTCAGCTCTATAGCAGTTGAACAGCAAATAAAGTGCCCAGTGAGAATACTTGCAGCTATTAAAACTCTTCCTGCAATCTCCCAGAAAGACAACGAGAACACAATCACTTTATTGAGGAAAAGTAGACTTATCCTAATATGCTAACCAACCATATCCTAAGGCAGTGTTTCTCAATCTCAGCAACTTGAACAAGTATGGACTTCAACTTCCAGAATTCTCTAGCTAGCATGGCTGGCTGGGGAATTCTAGGAGTTGAAGTCCTTACATCTTAGCTGCTGACATTGAGAAACACTGTCCTAAGGCAGCCTTTCCTAACCATGACACCCTCCTTATGTGTGGACTTCAGCTTCCAGAATTCTCAGCAATGTCCGTGCTGGCTGGGAATTCTGGGAGGTGTTGTCCCCACACATCTGGTAGGCATAGGCTAGAGAAGATTGTCCTAACTTTAAGAGATTCTTACATTCTCATTTCCTCTACTCCTATTTGAGGAATAAGACAATAGGGATTTTGTTCTCGTCAGCTTACCAGATCTGGGTCTAGACTAGATGTTAATGCAAAAGATGACAGTAGAGGAAAATGTAAACATAAGAGGCTTTTCTAATCTGGGAGTAAAAAGCTCTACCTGTCAAAATTCCCATTTCTATATACATCTTATTAGAGGCACAACTGTCCAGATTTTCTGTGACACTTGCAGACAGCAAGTGATTTCATTCCATCTCTGAATAAAGTACTTTCTGAGTCATGCTAGGCATTATTCTATATTATATTTAAATGTACTCTATTGTCTTGGCGTACATTTCTTTTTTTATTTATAAAATAATTGAGCTTCTACAGTTAACAGCATAATTTGTTAGAAAACATTTATTCACATATATCTAAATGGAATTTTTAACATAAACTCCTATGGATTAGTGGGGAAGGAACCACTATTTGGTAATTGTAATAACATTTGCAGTTTAATAGTTTGAAAAATTCCAATATGAAAGACAAGGATGTCCCAAGGCACTGCGTGGCTGAGATGAAGAACAAGATGGTATCTCTCCCATTCTTATAGTTGATGGAACTGCAATTTTAACTTAAACTGACATGATGATAGGACAGCATCTTTTACCTCATTTGAATGCAACAATTCACCTTAAGGCAGTGTTGTCCAAACTTGGCCACTTTAAGATGAGTGGACTTCAACTCCCAGAACTCCCCATGGCTGGCTGGGGAATTCTGGGAGTTGAAGTCCACTCATCTTAAAGTGGCCAAGTTTGGACAACACTGCCTTAAGGAATGTGGAACTAGCCATTGTGGACCTCACAACTCTGTCTTGCAAGATGAGAACGCTGCCAGTCTCTCTACAATACCTGAAGCAACCACTTAATTTTCCCCATTGGGAAAACCAACTTTGAAGAAAGGACAAAATATTTCTTGATAATTTATTATGACCAATGATTTTATGACTATTCCTATGCTGGTTTAAATTCTGAGACTTATAATTCCAACTTTTCAGAGATTCCAGGTTACAGAAGGTTAGTACAGGTATTCTGCCTTCTGTTAAAGAGCTTAAATGCAATGAGAAAAGCATTTCTATAAACAGTAGGCTATACCACCCCAAGAACGTATGTACCCCTAGCCACATCAAATAATACTACTAAGTGTTTTCTATATTATTACAGAGTTTCAGGACTTCTGACTACTGTTTGGCATCAGCTTTTTCATGAAAGCAGGAGGAAGTTACCACAGGTGCTTAAAAACAACAAGCAAACCACTGCTTTATTTAAATACCACCCAACCAAATATAGAGCAAATGTGTTTTGGCTAGAAAGCTTGCAACTGTAGGCTTGAACATTCTTTGCTGAGTCTCTGATAGAAAATGAAGATTGCTGAGTTGGTAACTGACTCAGCCATGACCAAAAATTGGAGCAGAGACTTTGTAGACTATTATAATTCAGGATTTAACAGTGATGACTTCTGCCTTATGGAAAAGCTGCCATTTGCTTCTATCTTTATCTCTGTCATCTACTTCATGATTTTCTTCATTGGCTTCTTTGGGAATTTCTTTGTGGTCCTGGTGATGGTGCAAAAACGAGGCAACCAGAGGCTTGTGGACAACTTCATCCTCAACCTGGCCATTGCTGACCTTGTCTTTGTGTGTACTTTGCCCTTCTGGGCTTTGTCAGAAGCATTTGGTACCTGGTGGTTTGGTGAAGAGCTGTGCAAATTTAGCAGCTATGCCATTTCTGTGAACCGTTGCTCAAGCATCTTGTTCCTGACAGGCATGAGTGTGGAACGCTTCCTTGTGATGAATAAGCACTGGGATTCCAGGTCCTTCGGGACCAAGAGAAATACCAACATGACCTGCAGTTGCATCTGGGTGCTTTCCCTTCTATTAGGAATGCCATCTTTGGTCTACAGAAAGCTGATCCTTGTGGGAGACAAGTTTTCATGCCAGGATGAGGAGCCTTCTGTCATCTATACGTTCGCTGTACCTTTTTTGACTTTCCTGCTATCCTTGGGAGTAATCTTGTTCTGCTACTGCTCAATCTTCTCCATGCTCCGGGGTCATGTCAACTTAGGCAGGAGAAGAAACCATGCCCTTAAAATCATCTTTGTCATCATTGGGGCATTCATCTGCTGTTGGTTGCCCTTCAATATCTTCACAGCTTTCATCACTTACAGTATGGTACAGAACGTCAACCTTTCTTGTGAGGCATTGAAATCTCTTAGGAGGGGACTTACTATCAGCGCTTGCCTGGCTTTCACAAACAGCTGCATTAATCCCATCATCTATGTCTTTATGGATCAGCAATTCCGGCAGAAGGTACTGAAGAATTTCCTAGGTCTTTGTCACCCAAGGGAAAATGCGCAAAGCTCAGCCATGTCCTTTTCATCTACAGAGTCAAGTCTTCTGTTTGCCAGCAGAAAGAAGTGCATACCAGCCACAACTGTTAGCAGTGGGGCAGGTTTTTGTGCCTCTAAGAGAGAGATATAGTTGGTATTGTTCAGAGCATATAGCAGAATTGTTGAGCCATGTTAGTTATGGAAGAGAGAGGAGGGAGGTGGCTTAGAGGCTTAGTTTTCTTGCCTAAGGAAAATGGATGTTTTTAAAATTTCTGATAAGCTTTTGTTTTTTAAATTTCTGATTTTTGCTATAATATCAAAGGAATGTTTTTTAAGGATGTGTTACATGTACTCCATAAATTTATAAAATAAAATCCTGTGTATATAAATTGTCCATTGATCTGTAGGATAAAAATGCAGATTTAACGCTTGCACAGATTTATAAGAACTTCTTCAACTGCTAAAAGATATTTCATATATGAATAGAGTGACTTGCAATAGTAATTATATACACTGCTAGAAAGTAGATGACTTGGCTGTATGTGTAGTTATAAGCCTACCTGCCTGCCTTAGCTCTTTATTTAGATTCTTTGTAGCTTTTGCAATTTGATTATTGATTGCTGATTGAAAATGTGTTTAAATTAGTATAAAAAGAAAATGATAGGTGAGAATGTATTTTGATAGCAAGTATTCTTTAAGACAACGTGCCAAGCAAATGAAACTACCACACCTCATAATAAAACCAAACCTTGTACATTTAATCAAAAATAAATATATAGCTAAAACTGTTATACTTTTATCTTTTAAAATTCTTTTGAAGCTGTTGGAAATGTATATTTCAGAAAAAAATGATTGCTACATCTATTACTGTAAGTTTTCTTGATTTCAATTAAATGTTTAATTACAAAACTCTGATCTGATTTTTATTCTTTAAAATAATGGAAATTCTCTCTATTAACATATAACAGTGAATTCAAAACTTTCAATGAATATGTCAGGTTTAATTATGCTATGAATATCCAGGTTTCATGTTAGCTTTGGAAACTACTAATTTTCTTTGTCTTCAATCTTTTTATTCTTTTTGTTTGCATTATTCATCTAGAAGTGAGAAATAACATGACCACCAAAGGAAGGGAGGCACCACAGAGTTTTTCCCCCTAACTATCATGCCCTTAACTCTTTCACTGCCACACTCAACTTTAATTTTCAGCATTTATTGAGTCTAAGTATCTTGTCAGTTAAGCAATGGAAGGGTCAAGTGGCACCATTGTTGGGTTGTACCTAGGACACCAGTTGACTTTAATCCAGCCCTGGTCCTTAGGAAACACTGTATCATCCTTTTTCAGTCATACTATGATTATTTACAAAGAAGTAGGCTATTTGGTGCTCTCTGGATTTCTGAATTGGGACTCTCGTAAGCTCTAACCAACATAACCAATGGTTTGAAATTATGAATGTTATAATCCCAAACATCTGGAACACACCAATTTGCTACATTTACATCACATTCTTTCTACAAGAAACTCAGTGTGGCACATATACCCCCTTGTATTTTCACAACTCTATGTATGAAACAGGCCATGTGGAGAGTGAATGATTTGCCTCAAGTCACTCAAAGAGGTTCATGGCTCAGTGGATATCTCCCCAGTCCTAGCCCAGTATCAATCACTTGCATCATAATGCTGGATCTATTTTCAAGATGCAAGAAAAACTGAAATAATGTGGAATAGCCCTTAAAAAGATAAATGAAAGTTATTATATAACTTTCCCCCAATTCTTCTGGAAATGATTTTTTTCTGCTCTCTTTTCTTTTTCTTTGTCTGTATCCCAGAATTTGAGAGACATGCTGTTCTAAGCACTAGCATGATGGTCTGTTTTGTTCCAGTCATTTGACATCTTCAAACTAAATCAATATTCAGTCATAACTGACATGGTCCACCATCTCTTAATTTGTGCAATCCATATTAATCTGAGAAAACAGAGAAAATATACTGTAATTGTGATGCCACCATTGAGAAAGCTTTGTCACTGAAACTAGCTGAAATCCCACATAAGCTAGTAGATTATATTTAAATAGGGCTCCATAATTAGTAGATGGTCTTGGCTAAGACATCTGCTCCCACTCATAGTTTCCCCTAAGTGTGAAATACTTTTTACGAATTGATATAAGAGATGTTATAAAAAGTCAAGACTTTCATAGGCATGTCTGAAATTACTACATCATTTTCATCAGAAGCAGCACCCCCTTTATCTTGACATCAAGGTACAATAAGGTATCTGTACATTTGGAAGTGAAAGAGAACCACACACAAACGTGGCAGGGATTTGGAGTTAGGGCGATGGAATACTGTATAGAGAAAGTATTATAACTCATCTAATTGTTTCGGTAACAAACTACCAGACTAATATTGAATGTAATTTCACATAGGAACTTTTGGATTTGCTACTATCTTTTATTCTGGGAAAGGAGAAGACCCCTTGATATTTAATCAAAGTGCTAGGGTTTTTTCCATTTTCATTACTGTCTAGTAATGATCTAAAGAAACCATAATTTGAGAAGACACAGTAAGATTATTATTTAAGTCCCATGTGGTCCTCTGTGGCCCTTACACCTGCCTCTCTATGGTCCCATCCGGCTTCCTGATTAGTGGAATGTGTGGAATACTTTGTGAGGAGAAAAGGGGCAGTGAAAGGTCAGTGGAGGAATTTATAACTGCTCTGTTCCTTTCACCAATTATAGTGAAAACATGGCATTTTCAGCTGGTTATTAAGAAAAAAGAGAAACACAAACTTTTCTCTTTCCTCAGAGAGAACATAATAGTGGATATATCATCTTTAATGCCATAATGATTTCTAGTCAGATTTTTCTGGATTTTATAGCACACTGCAAAAAAAAAAATCCCTTTATCATATTCTCTTTAATACTCTTAGATTGCAGAGAATGGGAGAAAAAAGTGTCATTTGTCTGCAATTTGCCTAAACCCTCAGTATAAGTAACCACCATGACAAGAATTGAATAAAGCGAATCAAGGTACTTACATACATTCTGCAGAGTGGATAACTGAGAATGTCTGGCAACTGGCAAATATTTTTGCAGTCAGTATTTTCCCATAGTTTTCACTTTATGCATAACTATTTCTTAATCTAAAGCATAGCTAAGTTACTTGCAATAACTTTTTGCACAGTGTTCTTACTGCTTGCTAATGTTCAGAGTTCTAGCCAGCTATATTGTCTTTTATATGAATATCGTGTATTCATTCTAAGAATGAAGTTGCTCAGTTCATTCTCCCTCATTTGCACCTTACGATCTCCACTGGTTTTCTTTTCCAACCAAAATTCCTTACAGCCATCGAGTATGTTTTGTCATAATTAGAAAATTCTTTGGGAATGAATGGCCTCCTCTGCATTAAAAAAAAAAAAAGTATTACTGCAGCCCTTGCCTTTCGTTGCTGGAATCTCTCTCCTGTTTCTCAGACACTTCTGCCATTACTCACTACTTGTGTGTGATACTGTATTACAGTGAGTTCCTTTCATCATATCTGAGTCATAATCCTGAGTGATATAGACTTTATAACCAAGAAATCACAGTAATTCCAATATCAGGCAACACTTTAAGAAAATTAGATTAGCCCGATTTTAATAAAAAATTCAGCCCAAATATTAGGCGAGTTTTATAAGACTATCATGTGTAATGTGCACTTATTTCTAAAATTCTAATTAAAATAGGACAAATCACAACTCAGATTATTGTATTAGACCCTATACTGGCTTTATTAATTTTTTTGATGGTCCAAATGATACCTTAGACCATGAAGAATGTATGGTTGTTTTGCTGGCTGCGGCCAGAGTTTAGTATTAAGAACTTGGAAAACAGGGAAGGGTTGGAATAATTCCATACGGTAGCTAAGTATGTTGAAAAACTGCTCTGTTGGAAAGGCAGACCAGAACAAAAAAGATGATAATATTATAATAATGCAGATGACTATTTTTGTCCTATAATTATACAGAAATAAAACATAATTGATATGGTCCAAATTAATTTTCTTCGGCAAGTGATAAGGAGATATGGGTTTCCGTTCTATTTTATTAAATGGATGGAAATGTATTACCGACATCCCTGTGCATGAGTTACAACAAACCTACTGACTTCAGAAGCTTGTTACCCGTTCAGGGGCATCCACCTTCTCCACTGGTTTTTGGTTCCTGGGTCTTGGTCCCTTAGCAGTTTTATTAGACAATCTAGTGATAGCACTGGTATTATTCTGGCAGGTTTTGATTATAAACTATTTTTATATGCTGATGATATTTTAGCAATTTTAAATACCTATGCTAATTCATTGCCATATCTTATACAGGTGATTCGATATTTTGATACATATTCTGCATATAAGGTTGATTGGGATAAGTCTGTTTTACTTGCAATTTTCAGCAATCCAGTTTCAGCAATCCAGTGCAAATTCCCACTTCAGAAATGCACTTTGAACTCGGGCACTCTTCTTCCTAACAGGACACCCTCCCGATGTATTGAGACTACCATTCCCAGGACGCCAACCAGCACGAAGGAAAGTCTGCCTGGCTGGGGAATTCTGGGAGTTGAGGTCCACACATCTTCAAGGTTGAGAAACACTGCTCTAAAGATTTAGAGAAGACCAAGCTGAGGAAAACAGTTGTGCTACAAATATGAATCGAGGGGAAAGAAACATACTTTATGAATCTAAGAGGCTACGTTCCTTTCGTCATGGTGGCGCGATGTCTGCTCTCTTATCAGCTCCGCACAACCAAGGAGGGCTATCAAAGGAGGGGCGCTCGCCAATTATTTCTGTCTGGTGCAAGGCATTTTCATGTGGGCTTGATACGAGGACTGAATTTTGCTCTGGCATAGATATCTCTCCGCCATCCCCCACTCCGTTCTCTGGCCCCGGCCCCGGCCCCGGCCCCGGCCCCGGCACGTCCGCCCGGAAAATTTTGCGAAAGTTGCGCAAAAATAGAGGACTAAGCGAGTCCGCGGCAGCGTGCCGTGGCGCGAGTGTGGCATATGCGGCGTGACGGTAGGAGAATATCGGCGGACGCAACAGGGAAGGTACCGGACTGAAGAGAGGGAAATGGGGTCCAGTATCTCTCATCCATCCAAGTTGCACCCACCCTGCGCCCCTGAGGTGTTGACGCCGAAATTGCCCCTGCCTCAAAACTCTCAAAGTCCAGAGTGGTAATAGCGTTTATTCTGAAGTAAGGAGCACTGATTTTAATTAGCTCTACTTGCCAGCTCGAAGCTCCCCTCCCCGGCCCGTGAAGTTGCATTTAAAAAACGGTAAAAATAGTAAAGGAAAAAAGAAAGGGAATACTCCAAAATGTAAATATGACATTAATTCATATATTCGTATCCAAAGAAATCACAGTAAGCAAGGAATCACTGAAAAAACGGTAGCCTTGAGGAATAAGAAATAAAAATTATTGTGTCCATTCTGGTGTGTGTGTCTGTGTGATGGCTATTCCCCCCCCCCCACTATAAACTGAAATATTAATCTTAAAAGAGTAAATTCCCTGAAATCTACAAATGCGTTGCCACATCCAATCATCCTATAGTTATAGATATGTATCATTCAAGGTTTTATTCCTAAAACATCTTTCACTCGGCTAATCATGCTAATCCGTTGCAGCAAATTCAAGAGATTTAACATATCAAAATATTTTTGGACACCTATCATATAAGCAGACTATAGCCAGCTGAAGTTTCTTTG